CTAGACTGGAGCAATAAACAATAAAACGAAGGAAAATAGAGGGATTGCTCGCAGTCTACCCCCCCCTCCTCAAAAGTTAAGTGGTCGGCCCCTAAGGCCTTTTTCCATTGACCGATCTGTTTACGTAAATACGGTCGCTTTGTCCTGAATCCGGATTACTGTCAAACCAGGGCGCTATAAAACACGTTCAATTTTATGTGAGACATGAAGCCAAGTTAAATGTCTATAGTTTGGTGTGTACTGTCTCACAGGGCATAAAACACTATTGCGATACGTCATCGCTTGAGTAAAATTTTTGCTCTGTCTAATAGAGACTCCCCCCCCAAGGTAGTTTCGCCCTCGTGCCTAATCATAATCCTAACCAAATTGATCAAGAAAATCCAAAAAGAATCAACTTTAAAAATTGAGAAAATGACGTGAAACGATTGAAAACCATCCACTGAATCCGCATTCTATTGTGGTCAGTCATTTCATAGAAAAATAATTTATTAGGGGGGGAAGGGGGCAAATGTCCCCACAGCTTCTATGTTAAAAAAGGCCCTGGCGAGGCTCAAGGGATATCAATCACTCAAGCTTCACTCGTATTCAGGCCGAGAGGTCCCTTGTCGAGGGTGAGTGCTGTCATTGAATGATCAGAGGGTGAGTGCAGTCTCATACTGCCAGTGCATACTGCTCAGTGAGGATGATCATGAGTGGAGACTCAGTGGACTCAGTGAACGTTGCACGTGCACTCATATTGAGACTCATTGAGGGTGAGGGAGCTTTTAGAATACAGTCGTTCTTGTGGAGCCTATATATACAGCGTTTTACAATTTTTCAGGTACTTTTGCACAGGTTGAAAAATCAATATATATCCTTAATTTTATTTCATTAATAACTATGAATTAAATGATAATTGAATAGTTAAAATGAAACTTATGAAAGTACTATGTACTTTTTGTATACGACTCCATTGAAAAATTAAGATTTTTGCATGGCCCGGAGTTGTACATGTATGGCCAGCTTATAATAATCGACTAAACGCACGTAACGTCAAAGTACTTCCCCGACTTCCCCCAATGAGAAAACCGGAACACAGGTTCCTGCGCAGGCTAGCGTCAAAGAAGCGTTGATTAGTCAGCTGACTGGCTCCAATAACAGTTCGTGAGTTGCCCTATTCAATTGCTCTGCGCTAATTCTGTGGTTTCCACAACTGCGCGCAGTTCACAGGTGTCAGAAGAGTCTTTGGTCTGGTCCTAACAAGAGCAGAAGCTACAGACTCTAGTCATTAGCCTCAATTCAGCAATTCAGGAACAACTTTCTAGGATAAAATTTACAGCATTGAAAATGGAGGCACGATACTGCCTTTGTTTGCTGGTTTTCCTCACGGCTCTTCAAGAAATAGTTTCACAACAAGGTAAATTAAATATTTGTTTTTTTTTGTCAATATGAATATTCAATAAATCTTGTCTAGTGTTTCACTGAACAAACAGTTTTTATCGCTACCCATGGTCATTGTATATAAAATTCAATTTGCAAGGCCCCTGCGGATTTTCTCAAAAATGACAGCTTTCCCGTTGTTTGTGTGCCTATGTAATTGTCATGCTACACGGATTGAAGCAATGCATTTTCTCCGTCAGTTTTAGACGCAACTGTTGCTTACCAAATGTTAAAATAGCGCATGCAAGATGCTTTAGAATGCGTTCACGTGAAGCCTCGCAAAGTACAATAAGGTCATTGTTCTATGTCGCAAAATATGCAGCTTTACGGCCCATATATTTCCAGCGTATAGTAAGGCAACAATTTTGCAACTTAATTAACATATGTAGCTAATTTAGCTGAATTAAAAGTCGTTATTTTTAGTAGAAGTCTGTTTATCTGTTTGCTTTTGGCCTGGAAATGATTTGTGTGCTCTTTTAGAGCGGAAACAAATAAACACAGCAAGCCATGCAATTAGACATAGAATATACTCAATATAGTATACCGCACGGTATGTGAATTTAATATATATACTTGTAAAGGAATAGTTTGCGCAATTTTATATTTGCAGGAATGACTATATTTAAGCAGAGGGTCGAAGAATTTAACGTTATTTTATCTCATTATATATATATAGTCAGATACATGTATCATTAATTGTCAGACTTAATATATTATCACCGATGGAAATTTCAAGCAGAAGATTACACACAATTTTAGACCTAACCAGGAGCAGTTGCACTACAGGTCTAAAATTGTACATAATTTTCCGCTCGATATTGCCACCTACATAAACCCTTCTCAACTGTAAGTTCTGTCGAGTTAGATGCCAAAAATCTCGATGTTTATATTATCATTGAGCATGTTGTAAACATATGCCAGACATATAAGATATAAAACGTTCTGCAGTTCAACTAATTCCCGAATCAATTTACCCCTCACGAATCCTTTCATTTTGTACCTGTATACATATATATATAGCTCGATTTATGAGTTAAATTTGTCCTGGATGAATAAAACGGGATTGCTAATATATTGGGGGTTGTATATTTCAATCTGGGTTTCTTTTAAATTTAAAACTTTACCCTCCTATTCATAGACGTACGAGACAGGGGGCAACTGTCCCCCCGACTTTAGAAAACCATACAAATTCGGGCAAATGTTTACCCTGGGTACTAGAGCCTCTTATGAAGTGGGGACACGATGAGTGGAACTTCATAAGAGGCTTTGGTAACCCAGGGTAGCAAATGCTAGGAAAACTCAAGAAAATTCGGGCAGATTTACCAGAATATATGTTAAATTCAGCTAGGTTATCTCACTACAATCCTCCACAAAAAGTCGGGCAAACTTTCAACTGTCCCCCCGGAAAGCATCAGCCCCGTACGTCTATGCTCTTATCCTCAGAACATCAGTTTTTATTACATTGAAGAGTTAATCAACTTTCAAATACATTTAGCTGCAATACTAGGTGGCAATTAAGGTGGCTACTGAATTGCGCTGGGATTGTGGAAAGCTTAATTACATGTTAATTAATAATCTTTGTTGCGTGATGATGTCCCATCATGAGGTAATCTAAATTGGTTTTCAATAGTATTTCGTTATCTGATATATTTGGTAATATCGGCAATCATCATAATGAAAATATGTATACTGTTGTCGTGTTGGCGCTGTAAGTTGAAGTTTTGCATTTTGTTTATATATCCGTAGTACACATAGTTTATCAACCTCGTTACCAATGACGCCGTATTGCTTACAATAGAGAAAGTCCAGATTTGACTTCCACTACGCTACCGGCGCTACCATTAATTTGCAACTAACCATTCAGATGCGTCAGGTAGTGGTAGCGCCGTAGCCTGAATTACGGGAATGGCTGAGCGGTCTGAAACTCTCAGAAATTTGGGACATTTGCGCCGTCGTTGAGATCAGTGTTAATCACTTTATTGAATTTCACAAAATGACTTTTGACCTTCACGCGTATCCATTTGCGCTCAGTGAGTTCTAAATATATATCTGGAGCGATATATATGGAGCTCGCTCATTCTCGTATCCAGAGCCCTTCTTACGCGCGGTCAACAGAGCGCGACGAGGGGCTCTGGCCAAATCCATATCAAACTGGCATCTGATTAGCTACAACAAATGTTATTGTTCTAATACCGGATATATTCTATTACCATGTTTTTATGGTATCCGGTTATGGATTTGGCCAGAGCCCCTCGTCGCACCGCGCGTAAGAAGGGCTCTGGGTACGAGAATGGGAGCTCACTGTGGAAACTAATTCGTACTCAGAGCCATCGATGGGCACGAGATTGATAACAATTTGCTCGATTACGGTACGTCATGATAGTCGGAAGCTGTGTCGGAAGAGTCCTGGATCCGCGTCCAGGCTTTCGCGCGTTACTGACGCGGAGAGTTTATTTAACACAATGGTTTAACATTAATTCGCACTAAGCTATAAATATTCACAGCCAAAACCTATTTTTTGATCAGGCTGAAATATTCACCAAGGGCCAAGATTCATCAACAAGACAAATTATGCCAAATCAACAAGAAAATTGTGCCAGGTTACAGCCAATCAGTTGCATGAAATCAAAAACAAGCATAAACATAGCCTTGTTTCAATTTTCAACATCATAATCAAACACAACTTTGCGCTTTCCTTAATTAATGATTGACAGACCTGTCAAGTGTCCCGCATTTGGCGTGAATTCACCCGCACGCATACCGAAATTACCGTAAGTCACGCATTTCCACATATCTAGAGAAAGTACGGAAGACTGCACCGCAACTGTCGAATTAAGTGAAAATAATATTTAGTTATTTACACTATGAAGAACTCCTCCTCCTGAGTCCCGAATAGATAACCTCAAAAGTCAAAGCTAAATGAAGAAATGCGATGGTATTTTTGATCCAGTTCTAGACCCCCTTTTGGTTGGGTTCGACAGTATAAATTTCTCTCAAAAAATTTGGATCAAAGATTTCGAAGGGCAAGTTTGATTCCAAAAGTTTCTTGTTGTCACGAGGTGAAAAAAAAAGTCTTAACCGTCCCTGTCATTTCTTAAAAAATATTCTGCTCTTCTGGGAGCCTACTAGTGGAATCATAATGTCGCGCGACGAGTTAGAAGACGGAGGTGTACAAGAAGATTGCAACCCCGGTAATTTTATATTGAGCAGAGAAAGAAAAACAAATCAAGAAACTGGCAGTAGAGATGAGATGCCTTCGAGTCATTAGAGGAGCAACAATTATTAAGACGAGAGAGGATGAGAAACGAAGACATAAGAAATGTGGTAGAGCTGAGGGAGAGAATACGTGACGGTACGGTACGTATGGCTACGTTAAAGGCACAGTTCAGCCTTTTGAACGATGGTTTTTAAGGCGCATTTCAGCCCTTTTAATTGAAAAAACTAACTAGGAAAATCAATTAAGCATAATTCAAAATCAGTAAACTCGATGTTTTTACCAATAAAAATGTTTTAAAATGTTAAAAACATTGAGTTTGGTGATCTTGAATTATGCTTAAT